TACCGCCGCGGCCGGTCACGGCGTTGGCGCAGCCCGAGTTGACGACGACTGCCCTGATGCCCTCGCCTTTCCTCTTCTTCAGCATATCCCTGCTGACTGTGACGGGTGCGGCCTGGAACTTGTTGGTGGTGAAGACAGCTGCTCCGGCGCACGGCTTGTCTGAAGCTACAATGGCCAGATCATCGAACCGCGTATTAGATGCCTTGACACCAACATGTGCGCTGCCAGCCTTGAAGCCGCGTGGGTAGGTACCAGAAGTAGGTACATACTTCTTCTTGGCTGGCGGGATGGTGCCGTCGCCAATTGCTGCATATGACCGTATTTGGGTTGCGAAGAGGCGATTTGAGCGTGTGAAGAAGCGCGGATTTGAACGCGCAAGAGACATGATGGCGATTTTTAAAGCAAATGAAGCTCAATTGCACTACAAGTAGCTGTTAGAGAGGTGACCAGTGTATGATTCAAGGACTAGGCAATGGCTACGACGCAAAAGGCAGACGATGCCCTGCACATTGGACGACCAAAACGTACCCTTGGACCCTTTTAATCCCTCTCGATGCCCAGTGACTCACTCAGTTGACGTCCTGCGCCTTGGTGGTCTTGCAATAAAAAATGACAGGCAGTAAGCTCTGCGGCCGTTATCGCAGCCCGCCGAGCAGCCGCCCCCAGGCTAGTCGAGCCCAACCCCTGCGCGTCTAGAGCAGCAGCGCGCCCACGGTCGAACACACCAGGTGCCAGAAGAGAATCGTATATCGCGCAACCACGACATGCTGCTTTTGCGCCAAAAACGGCACAATGATGAAGAGCACGGCGGCCGTTGGCAGACCGGCGAGGATAGACGTGCGCAGGCCACGCGAGAGCTGCGTCACAATGGCTGCACAGTGGTCACTGAGCGTGAAGGGCATACAGCTACCAGCGCCGTAGAGAACAAAAAACTGGAACGCCGTCAGGAGCAGTGTCGCTGCCAGCAGCGCGTATTCGAGGCGATCGAGGCGGCGCTTCTCCTTTTCTGCCACCGCAACCTCCACGACGGGAAGCAGGGGTTGTTGTTTCTTCTCAGAAGTAAAATACATTGTCAAAACGTATGTAAAAAAAGAGTAATAACTGCGATGCGAATATGTCCGGATATCGGAGGGTTTTTACATCGGAGGGGGGGTCATTCAGACATTATATGCCGACGCCCTCGTCTCGCCCTCTTTGCATACGCGTTTTGGCCAAGTATAAACAGGCAATGTGAGATACAATTGTCTTGGAACCTGGTTAATGAAACAACCGGACCCTGTTGTCCGACCATGGCAGAATCTTGGCCCTCCGCCCTCCGTCTCGTTTGGCCTTGTTCGTTTCAATTAACTCTGACGCCGCCCACATGTCAGCAGCCGACACTGCTAGCCCGCTATCCAAGCGCTTACTGCTGCATAAAATGTTCATGAATTTACACCTCTCCAACAGCTTCACAGTATAACTCAGGAGCTCTTCAGTCACTCAGCCTTGTTCTTTGCCAAAACTTGGCTGACGTCATGTTTTCTTCTGTGCAATCTTACATTATTATGTTCCCGTCCTCTTAATATCACCTCTAAAATGGACAGGGAGCTTGGGCAGGTCCAGATTCTGCTGTTGAACGTCATTTCTAGATTTCGGAGCAGGTACTTGCTTTGCGGGTTGCGTAAGTGTCCTTAGATTCAAGGCAATTGCGATGTCGTAATGTTGGTGAGAGTGCTCAGGGGCATATCGTTGAGCAGAGCATAACTGTTACACGCGACATGAGTACAAAGGTATATCAGTTTCAATTCCAGTTACATAGTACATCAAATACTTAACCAATCCCGTAAGATAGTAATGGAGCAATCCTGAGCTGTCAACCATCTAGTTGCGAACCTTTGATGGTGCAATTTTGTAGGTTCGTCAATACCAAGAGTTAGGCAAACTACCTCCCGTGCACGCACCATAGCCCAGACCTCAACAGTGTGGGGATTCCTAGTCCCAAGGATATCGTATTCCAGCCGCCGCCCATCCTAACAGTGTTGCAACGAACCGACAGTCTGAAAAAGCTGGTTGACTTTTTGAAATCCAGATTCCGTATGCTCACAGCAGTGTTGGAAGTTTCTTCCAGTTGATTTCATACCAACGCTTGTTGTCTCGCCAAGACCCCAACGCTAGATGTATCCGACATTCGACTAGGTTGCACAGCACCCGTTATTTCTCTGCCGCCCAATTCGGACCGATCTTTTCGGGCTGCACGTTTGTCGTCGGTGATGGTGACGAGTCTGACTGGGGAATCGTAGGATCAATAGGACCACTAGGACCACTAAAGCTTCTATAGCCACTAGGTATCCTGGAAAACATTAGTAATTAAGCGCAAAACTATTCTGTACAATATCATTTACCCATTGCAATAGATACTGCTTTAAGTAAGCTATCAGTATTTCAGAGGTGAGTTAAGCGAGTCGCAGTATGTTCAAAACTACAATAACATTGCGTTTTGGTGCGAGAAAATTGTCAGTATGTCAAACAGGTAGCCTAGCGAGCCATGATAGCGCAAGGGTGTTCTTTCTAGATGAGCAAAGTGTCGGTTTTGAAAGTGCCGAAATCGTCAACTCTTACCATGGAGGTTAACCTTGCTGCCGAATGTTGGAAGACTACTCATCAATCCTGAAATTCGGGACAAGCACCCGTGGAATCTTCGTTTTGGGAATAAAACATACGGGTACTATCATTCAAACTTTTGGGGAAAGCTCTCACTCTGTCTGATGTTGTGGCGTGCTAGAGTGATATCGGGATAGAGGGTGATATTGGGGTATAGGGGCACGTGATTTGGTGCTATGCACATGAGACGAAACAGTTTTACATCACTTAGATAGCTTCAATTTTCAAACATGCTTCAGAAAGTTGTAACCAGGCCCATATCATACGTCTGTACTTTATCTCATAGATAGCTAGAGAGGTCATGTAACCTTTTTACCCCAATAAACGAAAAAGGAAAAAATTATCTCCTTCCATCTGTCCAGCCCGTGGTCAAAACGCCCCCAGCCACCTCATCAAGAACAAAGCGCCCCAGAAATAGAAAAGATAGAGGTTTCCAATGCTTCTATATCGAGTAAATGATATCTTGACGTTTTTCTTCTAACTCGGCCACCCGAAGAAATGCGAGAAACAAAGTTGCTTCTCGCTCTATACATGCAATTTGTCCTTTGGTAACTGCAAGACGATTCACACGCTTTTTTCTAGGAAAGGGAAGTTCCTTCTTTGGCAATTCAATATGGAGAGCTCAAGAAATTCCACGTATCTGCACAGTATGAGTTCAGCAAGGAAACGCCATTCCCAGTCTAAACTACATACAACCATTGTCAACATCTTGCAGCAAAGTAAAAGGCATCCTGACTCCGCACTTTCTTAGGTTACATCTTTATTTACCGAAACATCTATACCGATCAAAGAGAGCGTACGCGTCTTGTGCTCCGTGTCAAACACAATCTAGGCAAAGAAGGGATAAGCGGGTGGTTGGGTAACTTTGTCTGCTCAGATTGTGCGCAAGCGCTGTGGTTGTAAGAGTGTATGTGCTGCAGGGCAAAAGGTTCATGCCGTCAGGAAGAACGCAAAAGCAAATGTGTATTGAGTGGGAGAAGAAGCAAATATCTAGCGAATAGTACTCTCCGTGACCGTGCAGGGGGAGGCTGAACGGCGACGTTGTATCGTAGAAGGATTCGCGGAAATAATGACTCGTCTCTTTTTCGTTCGTTCCAAAATGAATTAGATGTGGTGTGTGACGTTGTTATGACTACATACCTGCTAACGCAGCACTCACTTCCGCTCGTTCGCCCATCTTCCACGGACGTAGTACATTTATTGTCCACAAGGCACGTAAACAAACCATCCTCCCTCAGAAAACAACCACATCTACCACCTACATCCACCATGCGCTGTCACTCTCCACACCGCGCCTCCCCAGCCCCTCCCGCGCAAAGATCTCTCTTTGCCAAACCGCCCGAACATCCAAACCCTCAGCACCTCACGTGTTCAATAGCGGTCAGTCCTCGCAGCCAATGAACTGTTGAGACGACAATCCCAATTGAGTCACCCGGAAAAGCAAATCATGGACAACAGGTGAACAGCAACGACAAGACAGGGCAAATGCTCGCGTGGCACACCGTGCATGCGTTGTTGTTGCGACTGAAGAAAACAACAAATCTTCTTTTAAATACCCCAGAATCATGCCGCGGAAGAATAAAGCGACAGCAGCGGCAAGACCAACACCACCATCATCAAACCTTCGACTTGGATCCTCGCACCGCGGATTCCAAGGCTTTCTATATCGACTTGCACAGTTCCTCGAGAGCGAAGCTTGGAATACACCCGCAAAATTGGATTGAGAAGTGAGACAGCCACAAGAAGAGCAAGCACGCAAACACAAGACAAGAAAGAAACTGATCTTTTATTCCCTCGACATCCCACGTGGCTGGGACAGGCGTTGGTATCCAGAAACTGAAAGAATACAAAAAAAAACATCGGGGTAGAACTGGGTGCTTGATCGGGTCGACAGTTCAGGACGACAAACTCGCTTCCATCGTCTTCCGACGAAAATCAACAACAACGACAACAAGAGGTACAAACGACAGTCCGATAGGATGAGTACTTTTTCCAAGGCGTCTCTCATCCAAGCGCGAAATGAGATAGCAGTGGCAACACCGACAGCAGTGCAAAGTCTACGCTTGAAACCCACAATCATTGCATCAGCATCGGGATGGCGGGGATCATATTCCAACACAACTTCCACACTACCCTATTCAACGGGGTTCTCAACAAGGGTATCAAGTACAGCGTCATTTGCCACACCATCATCATACTACACCAACCACTCGAGCTCATCACTCGCCTCGCCCTCCTCAACACACATACTACTCGACCTCTACCCAACAGCGACATTAGCACCAACCCTCTCATCCCCAACATCTGGTCTCACACTCTCCACCGGGTCCGCCGCGCCCCCAAGCGAAACTGACCAGGAAATGTCCTTAGAAACCAAGGTCGGCCTTGCCATGATCCCCATCGCCGTCGGCCTCTGCGCTTGGGGTCTCGTCCTGCTAATCCTCTGGCGCCGCCGCAAAACTCACCAGTCACACCACCGGATAACCTCCTTCACAGCTTTCGGTCCCGAAAAGGCGAACTCGCCCTTACTCCCCTCACCAAGCAGCAGCCTAAGCAGCAGCACAAGAAGCCGCCGCATCTTCACAATGGCCGCATTCTACAGCCGCGACAATAAACAAGGCATGAGCGTAATGCGACCGACGACGCCACCTCCCTTCAACTCACCAGTCGAGCGCGCAAAAACAGATTCGAATCCCGACTCGCCTATCGATGGGGGCAGCCCGTTTCGGCTGCGACCAGGGGAGGCGAGGAAGAGTCTGGGATCAGAGATATCAGAGTTGTGGCCTTCGCCGCCGCCGACGGCGTGGGCGCGGCGCCTGGATATACTTGAGCAGCTGCCTGAGTCGCGGTTTGGGCGTGATATGACGGGGCCGCGGTTGAAGCGGAGTGAGAATAGGAAATCGCTGCGGGATGCACGCGATGTGACGAGACCGTCGATGGGGGATGACTGGCCTTTGATATGAAATTATGTTTTACACGAGCGAACCTAGCGATCTTTTTTTTGTTGCTTTACGATTAGACAAGTCATGTTGTTTTGGGATCAGTTCATTTGGTATACCCCCCGGTAGATTGGAGGCGTTATTCGGCTCCGGTAAGAGACGGTTTCACTTTATGCATGGTTTTTTCTGTAGACATGTTAACAATTATATTTTAATGATTTTGGTCTGATTGACACACCCTACGCATCAGTTTCCTCGTATCCCTTTTATGTAACCCCGCTGAATAATGTTCCCGTAACGGTTACGCGGACCGACATGGTGGTGTCTGACATCTAGAGTCTACTGGGGATGTGTTGCCCAGTAGGACAGATATCGATTCGCAATCGTCGGGCATTTCAGCAAGCCCTGACTGGTCCGACCAACTCTTAATACTTTCTCATAACTCTAATGATATCTCGAAATCTTGACGGCGCTCAATCACTCGAAGCGCATCCTCGACAGCCACAGTTGACACACTCAATCTCCTGGTTCTCTTTAAGCTGATCTCCTGGAACGCGGCATATGCAGGTAGAGCGGAAGTTGGTTTCTTTTGTCTGGATGCAGCGTGTGCAGCATAGCTAAGTTGCATTAGTCCACATTCCTTGTGCCAATATCTGCAAGCAACTCACCTTTTCATAACCCTGTTTCTTCCACTTGGCAATCAGCATGGGGTCTGCGTATCCGTTCTTGAGCAGGTAGTCGTAGAGCTGCTTGCTGATGGCCTCCTTGGTGTAGTAAAGGTCGTAGATGTAGCGGGAGCGCTGGTGGGTGATTTGGAAGATGGGCCACGTCATCTCGTACTTTTTCTTTCCCTCGTGTGAAGCGTTCTCGGCGTCTTTCATTTTGGTCTGGAACTCTAGAAGTGTATCTTCGATATCGTCGAAGCCTTCGGGCGGAGCCTTGCGAGAGGCGCGTGCTGTGCGGACGGGAGGCATGATCGAGTAGTACGTTGGTTGGGTTGAACTTATTTTTGGTGTTTTCGGTTTCGATTTCGACCTCCTACTTGGTATTTATGTATTATGTAGTTGTGGCGGTGATTACAAGAAGCAGTCGGTCGTCAAGTTTGCGAATGCGCCGCCAGCCAAATCCGCGCTAACGCCACGGCTTGGCATTCTACTCCACCCGAGCCGCATCGTCACTGCAACTCCCGCCCTGGGACAACTGGAGCTCCGCAACACCGTCAATATGGTCATTAACCCTACCTACCTCGCCCAGCGCACGCGCTCATGTGAGTCGAATATCCGTGTCAATCATTGGATGAGTCCAAGGCTAATTCGGGCATAGCGGTCAACTGGGCTGATGCGAAGAAGAGGGTCATTCACAGCTACCGGGACTGGCTGCGGTCGGTACGCATACTCTCCGTACCCTAGTGAGGATATATCGAAGCCGATGATTGGTTCACTGCCAATTGTGGTGCAAATAAGAGACCGGAAGCGGAGGGACGCGTTGGATTCGAGAGGAGCGGGCATCAGCAACACTACACAAGCGCGGGAGGCTGACAGGAATCATACAGGCTCCTGAGATCCAGACCATGTATTCGCTAAACATGCCTGTATCCCAACTTCGGACCAAAATGCGGCAGGAATTCGAGCGGCATAGATACGTGAATCAGCTGAAAACAGTCGACGTACTGTTATTCAACAGCCACCAAGAATTCCAGGTACGGCACAACCGGAGAGCAAGATTTCAGAAGACTCTCTTTGGATTAACATATACTTTAGGAAACACTCAACTTCTGGAAGCAACTATCACACGTACTCAAGTACTTCCGTACCGAAGAGGATCCCAAGGCACGGCTGCCAAACAACTTTATCAACGGCTTTTTGGAAGTAAGCATTTGATTGAACCCCTGATAACCAAACTTCGGAATACTAATCTATGCTCCCAGGGTCGCAACTGAGTGGGCTGTCGTCGCCTGAAATCGGAATTGAAAACAAGTCCAGGATGCGATGTAAATAGCCAAAGACAATACCATTTTCCTTTCCGTTCGCCATAGACCCATGATATCCGTGAACGCCATCAATGCAATAGTGCCCCACAAACCCTGTGTTTACTCCTCCATCTTGTTGACAAATTCGTCACGTGCAATGGTGAACTTCTTCTCAACAACATCGCACATAGCCATGAGATCTTCGAGGCCCTTCTCCAGCACAGTGTACACACTAACACCGTCTGCTATCATGTCAGATGTGCTCGCGATGTGTTTGGAAACTGAAGCTTACCATAAGTCTGGATGCGCAGGTTCATCTTTGCTTCTGATGGATGCGGTATGGAGTAACCACAAAACTCAACGTCTGGGCTGAACAAAAAACAATCAGCAATTATTCATATAATCGCTTTCAGGCGGGGTTACTTTTTGTGAATGATATAACGTAGCGCGTTACCTAGCGTGTGGTCCTCGCCATCAAACTGGAAAGATGCTGCTGTTTCTGTGGAGCCAGAGAGCTACACGCGATGTTAGAGGCAGATTTAAGAATTCCGTCATTTCATTTGACATACGACTCGGATCCTGTCGCGGTCGACGGCTGGGTCAATCTCCTCGCCAGTCTCGGAAGTTGGGTCCACGATCTGGACTGGCGCGGAATCTTTCGTGGCTCCTGGCATGACTGTTTGTGGCTGGTGTTGACAAGTTGAGTAAAAGGTAGACGTGACCAGACGGTTATGCGACACTACTCAAGATTGTTGGCGTGAGAAAGAGGCGTGACTTTGCGATATGCTCAGAATTTTGGGGCGAGAGCGGACTTTGGTTCGGCGAAGCGGTGGTTGGCTAGAACTTTTTTTCAGCCCTATATTGCTTGGCGGACATGACGTGGGGCGTGGGGAAGCCAGCACCCCTCTCCAGTCAGTTAGCCTAAACTTTTTTGTGCAACCTTCTCTTTATCCTTTTATCTGGAAATCGACTGACTCAAACTCCCATAAATCCGAGGCCATCAATCCACCGCCACAATGCCGCGCACTTGTACCCTCAACCGCGATACAAATGAGACCAAGATCCAAGTCTCTATCAACCTGGACGGCGGCGAACTTGCACCCTACGAGCATAGCGACTTCTGGGCCGCTCTCGACAAGGCCAATCTCAACGGTGAAGGCGAGAAGATCGACAAGGACCATGCTACCCAAAAGTCTGCATCGCAGGAGATTTCCGTCGACACGGGCATCGGCTTCCTCGACCACATGATTCACGCCATGGCCAAGCACGCCGGCTGGAGTCTGCGCATACGATGCAAAGGCGACCTGCACATTGACGACCACCACACGAGCGAAGACACTTTCTTAGCGCTCGGCTCGGCATTCAAAAATGCGCTACAGGGTAGCACGGGACTTGCACGTTTTGGACACGCATATGCGCCGCTGGACGAGGCCCTGTCGCGAGCCGTCATTGACTTGTCGAACCGGCCGTACAGTGTCATTGAGCTGGGGCTCAAGAGGGAGAAGATTGGCGACTTGAGCTGTGAGATGATTCCACATTGTCTCCAGAGCTTTGCTCAGGCGTCGGGTACCACACTACATGTGGATTGCATCAGGGGTGACAATGATCACCACCGAGCTGAGAGTGCGTTCAAGGCACTTGCGGTGGCGATTAGACATGCGACGACGGTGGTGAAGCAGTGGGAGGGTGAGGTTAGGAGTACAAAGGGTGTGTTGTATTAGACTCGGCCTGACAGGACGGGCCAATATAATTCACATAAACATACATAGTCACAAAACTTGAATAGATTTTACACTTCGAAGGCATCACTTGTGCAATACCTGCCTGATGTGAAGAAGAAACTGCGAGAGACCGCTTGGCTAAATTCTATACCATTTCTGCTTTTACATTGCCGTGATAAGTGTTATAGTGGCCATGCTCACTGAACAGCCGTTCGTCCTGGATTGACGGTGCTTCTAGTTCGAAACCAAAGTTTTCCCCCCGCATCCATGCAATAAATTCATCAACGTAATCACCATGTGGTTGAGGTGGAAGGACAACAGTCACTGCTTCGCTGGAACGCATACTCTCAGCATCGCAACGGAAATTCAAGATTGCTCTCGTCTTGTACTGAATAAGATAGTCCATCATACGTCTTTCCCAGAGCCAAGCCTTGTTAAGAGCGCTGCCACGAATCAATAGTCGAATCCGGGCTTCTTTGGCATTATTATGTGCCATCCTGGTCAAGGTGCATGTGACGAAAGTCTCCAGATTCTCTTTCGAGTAGCCCAGCTCTCTAGGGAGGCGCTGGTAAACTTGTTCCCAGTGGACTCCAAGTCTCGTCTCGAGACTCTGGTTGGTCCAAGCTGTGATGCCATTACATATGCGCTTAGGATTGCGTCCAGCAAGGGTCTCACTGCCATCGTACACGGATGAAGTGTTGCCATTGTGCCTTGACAAAAGACCGAACAACTCGTCCATGAAGCCATTTCGTGGCTCGTACTGTAATTTGGCTGGTCCCAAAACAACGACCGGCGGGTATTGCTCGTTGAGATTACGCAATTGTTTTTGGACCAATGCATCTCCGGTTTCTTGATAGATGAGCTTGCTGATCAAGAGCAACGACGTCGGCAACCTATAGTACGGCCAGCTGCACACGCCGACGGGAGATGACTTGACGACGGGCCATATGTACTTGTACACGAGCTCGGGCAGAAAAGAGTAGACATGGCAGCGCAGCTCAGGCGGCAGGGCCATGAGGCGGGATTCAAGTGCTGGCTGCATTGTATTGGGAGAGTGAATGTCGGCGCGAGTTACGCTTACCCGACCCTCTCCCTCTCCTGAGACCCTGGCCGAAGCGAGCATGGCCCAAGCTCAATCCCGCGGCGTCGCGAGTGGAGCTCGCAGCATCAACACACCCGACGTCGCCAATTCGCTGTCGACGCCCGTCTTGCTCTCTTTCCACCTCGCCGCCATGCTCTCCGGTATCCTCATCTTCAACCAAAAGGGCGAGAACCTCATCTTTCGCGCCTTCCGCAACGACTGCCGCCCACGCCTGGCCGATGTCTTCCGCATCCAGGTCATTTCCAATGCACAAGTCCGCTCCCCCATCCTGACCCTGGGCTCCACCACGTTTAGCCATGTCAAGCACGAGAACATCTATCTGGTAGCTGTCACCAAGAGCAACGCCAATGCCGCCCTCGTCTTTGAGTTTCTTTACCGCCTTGTCGGACTGGGCAAGGCCTACTTTGGCAAGTTTGATGAGGAGGCTGTCAAGAACAACTTTGTCCTTGTCTATGAGCTGCTCGACGAGATTCTGGACTTTGGATACCCCCAGAACACCGAGACGGACACGCTGAAGATGTACATTACCACAGAGGGCGTCAAGTCGGAGAGGACAATGGTGAGCTTCTCCATATGCGTGTATATTAGGAATGACTACTGACTATGAAACAGGAGGACTCTTCCAAAATCACCATGCAGGCTACTGGTGCGCTTTCATGGCGCCGAGCAGACATCAAGTACCGCAAGAACGAGGCCTTTGTCGACGTTATCGAGGATGTGAACCTGCTCATGTCCGCAACCGGAACAGTGCTCCGGGCAGATGTGAATGGTCAGATTATCATGCGCGCATACCTTTCTGGCACCCCAGAATGCAAGTTTGGCCTCAACGACCGACTGACGCTGGGCGAGGACCATCTGCAACAACCCTCAGGCAACAAGGCGGGCGCAAAAGCAACAAGGGCAGCAGCTGGCAGTGTCACGTTGGAGGACTGTCAATTCCACCAGTGCGTCAAGCTCGGCAAGTTCGACGCTGACAGGATAATATCGTTTGTTCCACCAGACGGCGAGTTTGAGCTCATGCGCTACCGGGCGACCGAGAACGTCAACCTGCCTTTCAAAGTCCACGCCATTGTAAACGAAGTCGGCAAGACAAAGGTCGAATACAGCATTGCCATTCGCGCTAACTACGGCTCCAAACTCTTTGCTACCAATGTCGTCGTGCGCATACCCACGCCTCTAAACACCGCTAAAATCACCGAACGAACTTCACAGGGCAAAGCCAAATACGAGCCAGAACATAACAACATTGTCTGGAAAATCCCGCGCTTCACAGGTCAAAGCGAGTTCGTCCTAAGCGCCGAAGCAAGCCTAACCAGCATGACCAACCAAAAAGCATGGTCCCGACCACCACTCAATCTTAGCTTTTCACTCCTCATGTTCACTAGCTCTGGACTCTTGGTACGCTACCTCAAGGTGTTTGAAAAGAGCAATTACAGCAGCGTAAAATGGGTGCGGTATATGACGAGAGCAGGCAATTATGAGATAAGGTATGTTTTCTCCCGAGCCGTTTATCTAACTCCTACCTACTATGCCTTGATGCTAATGTCACCCCCAGATTCTGAGAAAACGCATGCTTGTTTGTGGATACTATTATTGTTATTACCGTTACCATTACTATTACCATTACTTGTGCTATACAGTTCGGTGTTTGCATTGCATTGCAGGCGTCATTGGGGGGAAGGGCCTCGGTTATCTACGATATCCTTGAATATAATCAGAAGCGATTACCTGAGACCCTTTGTTGTTTTCTGTTGTTACATGGATACGCTGACATGCTGATATACAAATTCCGTCCTTGATCGTGGTGCTGGGTCGTTTGCTAGCTGTAATGTCTCGCAAGTGCTGCTTTGCGAAAAGTTGGGTGTGTTGTGACGTCCATCCAATACCGTGCACCATACAAACCGTTCTCTCCTACATATACACCTACCCTTTCACTCCCCCAAATCCATGTCCTCATCACTCTCCTGACCCTGGTCCTCGTCAAGCCTAGCCCTCTTCGCCTCCCTCTCCCAAATCTCGCGCCCAAACAAGAACACCTCTCTCTTCTCAGGCGTCAAACTATCGTGCAACCTCTTCTTCTCTACCTCCACTGCCTTAATCTTTTCCTTCAAGTCTTTCTCTTCAACTTCTAGCTCCTGGAGTTGAGCCTCAAGATCGCGGACTTGGGCTTCCAAGGCGTGGATTTGGGATTTTGTAGTGTGCAAGGCGGACTGGTTCGTGCGGAGGAGCTTGGTGAGTTGTGAGTGCTTGGTTAGGGTCTCGCGGTAGGCGGGGATGAAGGACGAGGAGGAGAAGGCGGTAGTGGGAGGGGTGCTGGGGGGTTGGAGCGGAGGGGGAGGGTGAATGTTGGGTTTGACCAAGACGGTGCCGGTAGCGGCGGTGGGGGGAATGGGAGCTGGAAAGGCTGGAGGCAAGGCTGATGGGACCGCGGGTGCATCTGTTTTTTTGGCGTCAGGTTTGTTGGTTTCCTGCTGGATAGACATGTTATGACTGCTAGGAGTCGAGATGCTAGGTGTAGGTGTAGGCGTCGACGTTGGCGGGAGCATGAGTGCAGGTTTAGGAAGCATTTTTCTTTGAAAGGCTTGTTTGAACTCATCAATCGGCTCCATTCTTGGTTGACCAATGGACGCAGGGCCTGTAGGTGGAACTGGAGTTGGTGTCCGAAGGGTTTCAGATGTAGCGGCATGACGTCGGTGCTCAGGAATGAAGAGACTGGTCTCATCTTCAGGAGATGAAGAAGGGAACGGCTGTGTTGAAGAAAACCGTAGAACTGGATTCCGTGGCGCGCTCTGGGCTTTGGAAACGGGCAGTGTCGCGTTTGCTTTTGGTCCAGTTGGCATGCTCGCAGGCGTCTTTGTCGTGTTTGCTTTCTGTCCATTCGCCGGTGTCGCTGTAGTCTCTGCCCTTAGTCCATCTACCGATGTCATCGTCCTCGCGGCTTGCTTTGGGGCTGGTGACGGCCTCCTTTTGTATGCCAAAGCAGTACCTTCTTCACGCTCCTGAGCCTTCTGTTTGACAAGGGCTTCTTTGGTAGAAATTCCGGCTGCCATCTTGCATGCTGCGAGCAATTCTGTGGTGAAGCGCATGTCAACCGGCCACGGTGACGGGGGATTGACTTTTTTGAACATGAAGTAGTACCTGATCACAGCACGCAGAAGAGTCGAATCCATTGTACCATTCTTCTTCAGCCACTTAAATGCATTTGCTGCATTGGTCAGCCGTATGGCCTCCTCTATAGTGATGCTAGAGTGCAGATTCCCATGCCGATCGAAGAGGTTGAAGCGGTGTCCAGGCCACTGGTTCTCGTCGCGTGTCTTGATCGGAAGAATCCAGACTTCTAAACCCTTTCTCTCACCTTCTGTGATCTGGCCGAAGAGAATACGTCGAGGTAGTGAGGTGAGACGCTTGTGCTTCTTGTCTTCAAATTCTGATTCCCGGATCTTGTCTGTAGGTAGGTGCTCGAGGAACGAAGCATCTTCGCCCATGAGACTGCGTATCTGCTGCAGAGCTTTCGTCGACAAACATTCTGTGCCAGCGGGTTCCGCCATTTTGATTAATTGGCACTGCTCCTGTCGTGTTATTAGCACATGCTCTATACTATCGATCTCCTTGATACTTATATCTTGTGCGTGTTTGGCCGATTTCACAGTCAAGCACGTAGCTCTTTGTTGTGTTTTTGTTATCCGGTCTTGTGGCCGCGACTTTTTTGTATACCAAACATAGTGTTTGCGTACTAGTGGGCCATATGTAAACGCGACTGGCGGGCACTAGTGGATACTAGCGTGTCTCGCTAGAGAATGGGAGTGAAGTAAGCTTCTGGAAAGCGTAGAAACCTAGTGTTTGAAATGTGGGGAACCGAAAGCTCCAGGTTAGATATGCAGCGGATATGTAGAATTCCTGAAATATCCGCTTAAGCTATAAATTTGCTCTTTAGTCCAGGGATAGCTATCGTATGGCAACGTACTATCATTTCGGGCGTCTTAGGTCCAAGTAAGACAAGCATTCGGTAGTCAAGATAGACATGTGTGAAATTGTGTTCCTAATCATTTACTTACACTAGGCTTTCTATATAAGTCTGTCACGTAAGTATGAGTATGTTCTTGTGAAGTTTCTCGCCTCTCATTCTCTAATATGAAGCCTCCCTCCTTGTCTCAAGAAGACTATACCCCCACTACGCGTTTCTGCCCCCGTACAATCCTAGTGAATTTCAGTTTTAGTTGACATATTGTAAATAGCGGCACCATGTATGCATTAGAACCGGAACTTGGTAACATAACCGAATTATATAATAGAGAAGAATACCAATCAATGAAACTTTTGCCCAACTAACACCCTTACACAATCACTCTCTAATATGCTCGTTTCAGCTCGATAGCATTGTGAGATTAGCCATAGCACTACGGTAATCAAGTGCTTTCCGCCAAACAAGGTAATGGTCCAAGAGTCATACATATTCCGCCCGTTACTCCCGGATACACCAAAGCATAGCATACCGTAAAAGCCCTACCATTTAAGTCACGTCCTTTGGTCTGTTAAAAACCTAGTGACTAGTCTTCGGACGCTTTGATGGCGACCCTTCCTCCATGCCAAGTTCGTCGTACGCAAACTTACGAGACAACTCCCAGACAGCCATCATCTCTGGAGTCATTACGCCCAGCTGTCGTTTCTCAACCTCAAGCTCCTCTCGAACATTTTGAGACTTTGCCTCAATCTCAGCCATCCTACCAGCCATATCTTGATCCTCAACACTGATCCTTTCCTCGAGCGCTCGTCTCTTACGCTCATATTCAGCCTCGAACTGCTCCTTTTCTCGACGAAGCTCTTCGAGAGTAGCAATGTGACGGGCTACCTGAGCTGACATTTCATCGATTTTTTTCGTAAGGTCTTTCCGATTATCACGTGAGGCTGAGAGCGACTCAAGGATGGTTTTGATACGTTTGCTAGGCTCTGGAGTCTATGAAAAGTTAGCGTATGATGAAATATACTTGTTTTGTGTGGCATTCCAACGTACAGTAATTTTAGAGACAGATGGTTCCTGGAGTTCTTCTGGATAATATTCAGGAATAAAGAGAGGTTCTTCCTCAAGTTCTTCTAGCTGATTTTCAGGAAAGAAGAGAAAGTCTGGATTCGGGTCATCAAGCGCGGAAAGCTTACTGGCAGCTACACTTTTGTTGGCTTTAACTTTGATTGTACCCTGTTCAGTGGTAGTGAGTCGCGAATCACGATGCTTCTTGCTCGAATGAACGACTAGAGGTCTATCGGCATTTACATGGGAGCTGCGTTCATTTTGGCTGTACATCTGAGCCGTAGGTATGACCTTTAGGTAGTTAACAACGGACTGCGGTTACAAAATCGATATCATAGTTACCGGAGGAGTTGTTGATAAGGTGCTTGACATGGCTGGCGATGAGAACTGTGTACTAGGTACATCCATTGCATTCGTGCTCTTATTAACTTGCTTAGAAGACGTCTTCTCTGAAACACTACGGCTCTGCTTGGAGATCTTGAACATTTCGCATCCTAGGACCAAGTTTGAACGGAAAGTTGAGCCAACCACTGGTATTGGAGCCGATAGAGTAATACCTTTGCAAATGAAGAGAGCTTTCAGAACAGCCTTCATTACATCGAGCTCGGGCTTGCCGTTCTCGGTAAAGGGCCTCCAAAACTTGTTGGCTTGAAACGTACCGTCTGCACAATTGATGTCCTTGGTGTTCATGACGATATATTTGGCGTTTGCTAAACGCTTACCAAACACCATGGACGGCTCAGTATTTCTGAACGAGGGAGAACGAAGATAGACGTAGACCTGGGCTGTGTGGATGCTATCTTCCCGATATGTGCCAAATGCAAGCTTCGGAGTGCTGGAACAACGACTCGATGGCTTCAGCGAAGATCCTTCATGAATTTCATCAAAGAGTTCGTCAACTTCAGCTTCAGAAGGGAGGTACTGCAAGCTGTCCGCTTGTACATCAAGCGACTGGATAAGTTCTTCATATGTGGTGGCACGTGTTTCGATGGACGGTGAGTTAGTGGCTGGTGTGTATGAGGTGGGTGGGGTTTCTGAACTTGTTAGCGTATCTCCTATGGCTGGCTTTACATTTGCGGGATACGTGCCGCGAGAGGGGGTGGAATGGTAAGACACAAGAGGAAAGTTTTCGGTCATTTTTGCTTGTATAGTTCGAGAATACAGAGGCAAGAGGGCTGGGGCTAAAGGTTTGTGGGTTGATGGTGGTGTATCAGCGTGGATAAAGAACTAGCGAGGAGTAAACAATAGCCATGAAAGAAATCACGTTGTAGGCACCGAGTGAGGGTATACTCTAATACATTACCCGAATAGGTGATAGTGAAGCTAGGTGAAAGAGCGACTGTTCAGGCAACAGAAACAAGGGGGGTTAAGGTAAGAGTCTAACGTCGAGCAAACGCATTACGGACACTGAACAGGTATAACGTGCTAGCTACGGAGAGGAAGAATCTGATTAGCGAACCTTAAGTAAAGTGACTCACTAACGAAAACAGCATGCATTGTTTCCTATGGGGTAATGTAGGAAAGCGTCCTATTACTTCTGTCAAAAGCAAGCATATGTTTGCCACTTAGGCATATTCATTGTCTGTCAAGCTATGAGAAACAAGCAGCAAACTATGTAGTTATGAGTGAGGTTTGCTATTCTATTCATATTTCTATCTTACTGTTGGAAGAGGCTTCTATCAATGCGCGTCCTGTATGTTGAGGAAATGAGTGCACTGCGACAAAGCGGGGCTATGATGAGGTTTTATTATTAAATAATACCGACTGTCATTGTTGATAGCATCCTAAACTTAGAGGCCATCCAATTCATGTAGGTAGAATACTAGACTCTTCCTGATTGGTTATTAGAGCAGGCCGAACTGAAGGTTGTCTAATTTGTATGTGCTTTTGGTGATTCCTGGTTGAAATATTGATTAATCCAATCATCGGGATCACAAGACCCTCACCATATCAAGTCAAGTAGGATAGCCTAATACCAGACACTATGCATCAGCACATAGCAAGTTGTACGGCTAATCAAGTGACATAGTGCAGTAGCATGCTATTGCTGTAAAATTTTGGGCCAAAATCGCAATAATGAACAATCATATCCAGACATCTGTACCAATACTACAGGGAGAATGTGATTAAAGTGTCATCGATCACACGTTCGAACATAAAGACAGGCGACATGTATGTATTCTTGGATCCTCAGCGCTTTAGCGCCATGCTAGCGCCGATGACGTACTACTTCAATATGCGACCTCTCTTTGATAGCAGAGCTGCAAACCAACATGGAATTTGAATAGCCACAACTCACACAATGCCTCCAAAGAAGTTGAACAAAGATGGCGACCAGAAGCCGGAGGAGGGCGAGAAATCTAACAAACCCACTGTTTCCGATGAGGAAGTCCGGCAGGAATCAGGGAAAGCCGCCAACGCAGCCCTCGCAGCTCAGAAGAAGGCCAAAGAATTGAAGGATGCGGCAGCAGCAGCCGGGGATCCTGAAGAACGAGAGAAATTAACGGCAGAAGCTACAAACGCTGAGATTGAAGCCGAGTCATTTGGAAAAACAGCAAAGTACCTACGCTCAGGCGCATTTCAGGGAATGGCTATGGGTACAGGTCTTGGTGTTGCACCAGGGGCAACTTTGGGAGCAATCAGTGGGACCTTGGTTGGAGGTATCTCGTCGACGCTACTGGGGGGACTGGGCGCTGGTATAGGTGGCGTTACAGGGGCAATTCATGGACCTTTCGTGAACATGGGCAAAGTAGCAGGGAAAGGGATGAAAAAGCTGACGAGCTTTCTGCCGGAGTGGGCAGCAAGTGAGGAGCAAAAGAGGACATTGGAAAAGATGGTTGGCCAGGCCAAGGACGAAGAGATGCCTGGTACTGAGGAGCTTGAGAAGTTCAAAACCGAGGGCGGTGGAGGTCAGCTGGATGAAGGATGGCTGCAGAATGCAAAGGGCATGCTCCCACAACAAGAGGATGTCTCGAATGCAGCCAAAGCAGGTGCACAAGCAACCGGTGGTGAATCAGTGCCGGAGTCTAAGGACGGCACATCAGAGCAGCAGCCGCATGAAGGCTCAGCCCGTATGGAAGGCCCTCAAGGTCGTAAAAAGCCACGCAAACTGAATTCTAGGCCCACTGGTGGCAGCGATCAAGTGCCAGATACGGACAGCAATGACAATACGAAAGACGAGCCAACTCAAGGCAAGCAGGAGTCAGACGCACACAACGAAGGAGAGACGGATGAGCGAACGAAGAGACTCAATCAGCGCGAGACTGACCTGAACCGTAGAGAAGCTGAGTTGGAACAGAGGGAAAAGGCGTTGGAGAAGCGTGAGAAGGAACTTGGGTCCAGATCAACTAGCCACGGCCCAGAGCGCTCAAACACATCGGAACCAAAAGGACATCCCCGCAAACTCGAAACCAGATCTTGAGATTATCATGCTTTGCTTCGTAAATGTCTCAAGAAGATGTCTCGACTACGCGGGAACATGTCCCGTTATGATATTAAAATGACCACTATACAAGACGTAAGCAGAAGCCTTGGTAGAAGCCTTGGGCAAATACAACAATCAAACTCCTTCAAGATGCTCCAGTAATTTCGCCTACACTCAAGCGTGCCTTGGCCTCTACTCAGCGTCAGATCCACATCATTCCCCTACAAGCATCCGCTCGCCACGCAACGACACGGCACTCTCCGCCCAATGCACCATCAAAAACCTGCGATCTCAAGCAGCACAGCGGGCCAGAACTCCGCATCGCGCGTTCCATCTCTATTGGAGTGTGAAGCCCACCTAGTCCCCATCTGAGCGCACTGTGCTTCCTATCCTCCACCTACACTAATGCAGGGCAAAACACCGCCCACATCCTCCACATGTGCTGTCTACCGAGTATTTTAAGTAACGGTAGCGGCTTTGAGGCGCAAAACAACAAGTCAGGGTCACAGAATCAATAGAACATGGCGCATCGCCTAAGTGACATTTGCCCGAGCCTTGCTGCGCGAATGCGTCGCTGTCTAATCTTAGTCAGGAAGCTGCCCAGTTAGCACGAGTGCTAGTGTGCAGATGATAGCTCGGCCTGCGAGTCAGCGCGGGGGGGGGGTTTGCTCGCTTGGGTTGGGCCGACGGACGCTGCTGAGCGATGAGATCAGGTCCGTCCACAATCTACGTACGTGTGGAACAATCTCACGTTTCGTAGGAATTTTACAAAAACTAAGAGCCAAAATTTCCATCGAATAAGAAATCACGGTTTCTGTTCAATTCACTAATTGGGCTTGTGGTTTAGTGGTATAATACTCCCTTAGCATCAGTTCTTCCGCCTTCAGAAAGCGCAAAAACAGGCCTGGGAGTGGTCCGGGGTTCGATTCCCCGCGAGTCCATCTTTTTACTTTTTGATATGTCTTTGGTAACATAGACTCCATCTTGGTGGCTATAGTTGTTAGTTGGGGTAGTTGGGGCCGGGTATTTTTTTTGGAGGATGAGCGTGGTACGTGCGCACGACGCTGCTATTGGTGGGAACACCGAGTAAGTCCCCTGCATTTGCTAATTTCTCTACGCGCTTCTAGTATTGAAAGATAGGTGCTTACGGTCACATGACCACGTATTCGAAGATTTACAGAAGGACATGGAACGACATCAATATTAAATTTGGTCTTATTCTAAACTCGACTGGGTCCCTTTCTCACGCACGACACATGCGCCCATCGGTCCCAACGGACCACGCCTCGCTGCCGACACCCACGGTGGCATAAAAGAGGCCCTGGGGATCCCACTTCTTCTTGATGCCCAACAGCTTCTGATAGTTTGTTCCCCAGAACGTGTCCTGGAAGTTGGGCTGACGGAAATCCGCCTCATTGACATACGAACCACTGCCGGGCGTCGCCTTCTCAACCAGCGGGATGACTTCGTTGGTCATCTTGTTCTGGATATCAAAGGCTTCAGACCACGGCGCGGTGAAGTTCCACGGAAGGGTAAGTGTAGCATGTACGATGGCCTTGCGCCATGCGGGGTGAACGGAAGTGGTCTTGTCGGAGCCAAAAGATGCGACGTTCGTACCCACACCGATCCACGTTACGCCCTTTTCGATGATGGCTTGCCATGTGGGAGCGATGCTGGCGACGACAGCGCGGGGGATGAGACGTGTACCGTATTGAGCGATGCCGACTTGAATGTTGCCGAGGGGAAGGGGTCCAAAGTACTTGTCGTAGTGCTCGTAGTAGGTGTTGAAGGCGGAGTAGGAGACAGTGTGGGTGACGTTTAGGGAGGTAAGCTTTGCGACAAAGGGAGCCATGATGGTCTTGACCTGAGCTTCGGTCTTGTTGTAGGCGCTGAGTGGCGCGATGGAGAAGAAGCCAGTGGTGAAGTAGTGGACTACCATTGCGCCGGCGTCGACCATGCCGGGGAGCTCCTCGTGGAAGGCTTGGATGCCGCTGTAGAAGGTATCTTTGCTCATGTCTTTGGCGAAGAAGGAGAGCGAGGCGCCACCGAAGACAGCTTCCTTGTAGGCTTTTACGGCCATGGAGACGACGATACCGTAGGTGCTGCCACCGCCGCCCTTGAGCGCCCAGTACAGGTCTGGGTTCTCGCGTGGACTGGCATTGACAAGCTTAGCGCCAGCAGTTACAACTTGAAATTCGAGAGCATTGTCGACGGCAAGACCAAAGCTGGTGCTCACGGCTGAGTGGCCTCCACCTTGGGTGTAGCCACCTGCGACACCAACAGTGGGACATTCACCTCCAACAGTGACTAGTCCACGGTCTCGGGCAGCAGCCATCAATTCGAATCCCTGGACACCAGCACCAATCTTGAAGGCCGGACCAGTGTACTCGGCGCTCTGGTACGTGGGGACATAAGTGATGCTCTTGAGGTAATGGGTCCACACTGCCAAAGCCCCTGCGCCGGTAGAACGGCCAAGGTAGTCATGACCAGTGTTACGGATGACTAGACGAATGTTCCTCTGAGTGGCATAGTCTACTGCACGCTGGATGTCCAGAGGACCCGAGGCATTTACAGCATACCGAACATAGTTGCCCAACTCACACGGGCGGTCACGGGGCTGAAACGGATCGCAGCTCTGGTTTGCGAAGAAGGGCGCCATGACTGAAGAGGAAGATTCATAACTAGACCGGAGTAAGTGCGTGTATTCTTGAAACATGGGGTAAGATTGCATACTGAATCTTCTCCGTCTGCCATTGGCTCTTCAAACTCTCGCACTTTGCGCTGTCGAAAGCCGATCCGTGACATGGTGCTCCAAGGGGCACAGTAGCAACGAGTCGTCCACCCACGGTTTTGTTAAAAGCAGTCCAGTCAGGCTGCGCAGGCCAGTTTTTGTCACCAGGAAACGTCTTGCAACTGGCGGCAACACTGTAGGCAGATGCAAGGCCATCGATCGCGAGGGCAAAGCTTAGGAACCGCATCTTGAAAGGCTACGTAGTATTGAACAGAGGGTGCCGTGGGGGTGCCGAGCAAAACGAGTGCTGCACAGCAGCCAGCTCATTATAAGAAAAGGCCTGCAAGCCTTATAGGCCTTACTCTCTGGCGAGACCCAGGGCGGAGCATGGTCGTGGCACGGCAATGGGTTAGTAGTGTCCGGCCGTGTGGGTCCTTTGCCCGCAACCACCACCACGTGCGCCGGCCGTTGCCAAAGACGCTGGCACCTATCTCTGAACCCAACCCCAGGTTTCCTCCAAGTAAAGGGCTTCCATTCCATGAGGATTCGCAATCCTGTGAGCAAAGCCCCCCCGGTATATCCGTCATCCGCACCAAACCTGGAGTTCGCCCTGGCATGACAGCATGTGCCCCAGGGTCAATGCAAACACCCATGTCAAATAATAACGCCGAGAAGAAATCAGGGACTTCTGCATACCTTAACCGCATCAAGCTGTTAGCATAGCCGCTATCCCCGTCCCTGGACTGACAGACGGGTCGGCGACATTTATATTTCTCTAGGCGAGTATGTAGGAGACATGAACGAAAAGGTGCTTGTTATTCGTTCTAGGCCGCATCAGCCCTAGGGAGCGACTTCCCGTTCTGTAGGTCCGCCGCCGCTTGGGTTAACTAGGTCTTACAAATTTCGCTCCGGACAAATAAGTAGTACCTGTCTTAGCGACACAAAGGAAGGGCGGGATTATCCGGGTTTCGCGGCTGCCCGTCGTGGTTACTGTTGTGTGCACGGTACGTAGGCTATCCTGAATAGGCGGCTACAAGGCCCTTGTTCGTTCGATAAGCGTTTCTGAGGCTCACGGAGGGGGGGGGGAATCCTCTGCAAGTGGGCAAAGTAGCGATGACATTTCGATATCGAGGGCGCAGATGCGGTTTAGTGTGTGTGTGTGTGCTATGACGAACAGGTTTCGGTGAGACTCTCGTCGTAATATCCAGTCGAGTGGTCTGCTTCTGCATCTGTAGTCTGTAGAAGCAGTTGGACCCCCCGGTCCTCCATGTCAAAGCTTGCCGCTGGCGGACATTTCACGATCCGTAGGAGCATGAATCCCTTGTCGTACGGTGCTATATGCTGTGGGGGGGTACCGTTCGAAACAACTAGTCAAAGCGTGTTGCATGCTCTTATGTTGACGTGGATTCCCACCGAGAGGTTTGCACAACATTGACGTACAGAACGTGTATTTTTGTCAAAATGGGCTGGGCCTATAATACTCCTGACAGCGCTGTGAATAATGGCTCACATATCACAAGTGTGGCTATTGTATTCACAGTGGCATCACTGTTGGTGTTGTCACTTAGGTTCTACGTCCGAGGGTGGATGATCAAGACGATCGGAGCGGGTACGTATGACAAACATGAACTTGCTGGTCATGGCTAACGATCGACAGATGACTACGTTTTGGCCTTTAGCTGGGTACGCAATGTCCATCAGGTGTCTACCATGGGACTGGGTCTGACAGGTAACAGGTAGCGTGTTGTGGTTTCGCTGTTGTCACCGTCCTGCGTAAGTCGACCTTGCACATCGCACAGTGCTGTGGCTAACAACATCATCCAGAGACAAAATGGGGACTTGGACTGAAAAACATCGAGGATATGCCTAATGAAAATCTCTTCAATTTTGGACTGGCAAGTAATCGCCTCACTGTACTTTGTGGCCACTTCGCTAACCCGACACAGTTGCAATACATTGGCGCGCCGTTGTAAGTCTAGGAATTCTACCTATCCTCAACTCACTCACTAACGACATTATCAGCTACATAACAAGCATAATGTCCTTCAAAATCAGTCTAATGTTAACCTACCTCCGCTTCATGCCCAAGGGCGCCGCACGCACTGCAACAATCGTAGTAATAGTCCTCTGCGTCCTCTTCCACCTTGCCTTCCTTCTCGTCCAGATCAACCTATGTCAACCGGTACGTCCTCTCCTCTATCCTCCTTCGAAATTCCTGCTTACCCCCACTAGATCTCCATGCAATGGGACCGCACCATAACCGGCACCTGTATCCCCGCCGTCCCCTTCTACACCACCACCTCATCTCTAACCATAGCCTTTGACGTCGTCGTGTAAGTCTCTTGTCTCCACCCTTTCCCCACCCTTCCTATTTCACTCTTAAGAAAAAGAGAAAAAAAAAGTCTAGAACTAACATCTACCCAGCATGTTCCTCCCCTTCCCCGTCCTCCTCGCCTCGCGCATCCAAAACCGCAAAAAAGCCGTCCTCCTCGCCCTGCTCGCCCTCGGCACCTTCATCACCATCATCCAAGTAATCCGCATCCAGACCATCCGCTCCTTGACCAACTACCTCGACTCCGCAGGCGTCATCATGTGGTCGAGCGTCGAAAACAATCTCGGCGTCATCGTCGCTTCCATCCCTACGCTAGCACCGCTGTTTACGTTCTTCGTGGATAAGACGGTCAAGAGCTCGGAGAGGAGTTCAAGGGGGAAGGCGCTGTATGCGTTGAGGTCGACAAAGGGGACGGCGAGGCAGGGGTCAGTGCCGTTGGGGAGTGGGGTGCATGGGGTGGATGATCGGGGGGTCGGGGATGAAGATGATAGGGGGAGTGAGGAGGCGATTTGGGGGAGGGAAGGCGGGATTGCGATGAAGACGGAGGTTAGGGTTGAGTCGAGGCCGGTTGGGGAGGCGAGGTAGAGGGGATGTGGGGGTGGGGGTGGGGGGTTGGTTTATGCAAAGGAGTAAGGGGCATGAGAGGGAGAAAATGGGTTTTGTGGCGATGGGAAATAAAAATTCGTGGGTTTTTTCGAGGTTTACTGTTGGATTGGCTTTGATATCCCCCATTTTCTATTGTAGTAAGTCCATGATGATCTTTTTTTTTCTTGAGCATACTTTTGCATTGCTGAGTGCTGGTGAAATCATAGCCTTGAGGTTGAATTATGCGTTCGATGGACTGTTTATCTGATGACCTGGCAAACCCAACACCACGAGCCCAATCTCTCCCCTGCAAATATCGTCTCAATAACGCGGGTACACAGTATTGTACGTTGGACCTGCCAATTAGCCATTAGTGCCTTTGGTCCTTCTTTCTGCCCAACGTTGATATAACACTATCTCTTATTGCAACGTTTCGGGTGCATGCCCTTACGACATTACACCACATTGAACGGTGTATGATAGGCGGATATGTTGCAGGGATAGGGCTTGTTCGTGGTCAAGCACGGACACATATAGGGATGTTATAGTGATTCGGCTGCAGATCCTGGACGATAGCACGCGCAAGGATGTGTTTGCCATGGCCAATCGGGGGAGAGTGGGGTATGTGGGCATGCTATTCATGTGTGTTGCTGGATTTTATTATAGTTGAAGTATGGATGAGGGAAGATTGGGAAATTGTGAGGGGTCGGAAAGGGAGTATCATGATTGTTATAGGGTTGAGGGTTGTCGCCCTGTGACACTACGGGACTTTTTTCTGTGTAGTAAAAAAGGGTTCATAAAAGTTTGAGTGAAGCAGTACGAGCCAAACCCAAAAAAAGCTTACATATGAGATTTTGAGACATCACGCCTGATATGTGACATTGGTATTGTTGGTTTGGCGTGAGACCTGTGCTACAGATCGAGTCTGCCCATAGAATGAACATCTGAGGAGTACACTTCGCTCCACAAAAATACTCACTATCCAGTAATTTCCTACAGCTAGAAGCGATGAGGAAAAACTATCGTTCAAAGAGAGGAGAAGGAAGTGTCCGACTTGTGGCAGGCGAGCAGATTTCGTACGAAGATGGGAGTTGAAATACAAAAATACTAATCCTTTGGATGGATTGATAAGTTCTGTCAAACTCGCATACAAAAACAGTTTTTGAACATTGCAAGAAGCGACATAAATTCATAACGGCATTATTGGCGGTACAACTATATTCGGGGCAGGACCTCTTCCAACCGCGGAACTGTATCCTCTGGCAATCTGTCGTATTGTCAGTTTCTATCGAACTTTTGTGTGAACAACCATTACCTACCGCGTCAAAATTTGTGCTATATCTAAACACACCACCGCACGTTTCCGGACCGGTATTCCAGTACAGCTGCCTCAACCAAGCATGCAAGCAGGGATAGTCGCGGCGAATCATTCTCAGATTGCACTTGAAGAAGGGGTAATATGCTACGTCGAATCGTATCAGTGTCGTGTAAAGATAGATATCCGACTCGGTAATGAAGTGTCCGAAAAGATAGGGATGGTGCTTGGGTTGCGAGAGATGAACTTCAAGACGATCCAAGGTCTGGAAGAGCTGTCTGAGGTGCTCATTATATGATTGCACAGATGTAGCAAACCCGATCTTGTAAACGCCATTGTTTACTGTGTCGTACATAAAGGAGTTTAGAGCGTCGATTCCAGAAACGAGGTGTGATGGTCTGAAGGCTGAAATGCCCTTGTTCGCCTCACGTTGCTCGGGCGGTAGGAGAGAGTCAAAGCCATCGATTAGCATGCGGGCTATATCTGTGCTTTCGTTGTTGACGGCAGTGCCTGGACGTGATCAGACTGAAGCCATTTGCTATAATGTCAAAGTCGGTTTACCATGCTGCTTGTCCCATAACAAGGGGACAGTTACTCTCCCGTCGTAATGGGGATCTGCCTTTTGGTAGATTTCTTTCAAGGTTGTGGCACCGTATAGAGGGTCTTTGCTTGCTCCTGTTCGCCCTGAAAAGGACCAGCCGTGGACTGCATCTCGATCATCCACTTCCACCAGCTCAATAATGTCCTCGAGCTTCTTCAGCACACGGATGATGATGGATCGGTGGGCCCAGGGACAGATGTAGTTGATGTACAAGACATAGCGACCCTTTTCCGCAGGGAAGCGATCGGAGGGGACAGTATGACGGAAACTGGAAGTCATCTGGTTGTGAATGCGAAAGAAGTTTGCTCAAGTCACAACGTGATAGGGCCTTGATATTTTGACTAGAGATTTGGGGAAAAAAAAACTTGAACATGCCCTGCAAGAACAAGACAAGGAAAATACAAGGCGACGCTC